TTATTTTTCTGAGACATTGAACCTTCTTTGTCAGAGAACTCTAGTGCCACAATAAAATTCAGTTCCCATGATTCCCTAACCTTAACCCTAACCCTAAAAGTGGACTGAATTCACACTATTTTTGACAGTCTGCAACCCCCCTTAGTGAACCACAGGCTGAACATGAACCAGCAATGTGATGTGGCAGCTAAGAAAGCCAATGCAATTCTAGGCTGAATAAGCAAGAGCATAGTCCCACTCTATTCTGCTTTGGTCAGACCTCACCTGGAATACTGTGTCCAGTTCTGGGCACCACAATTCAAAAAGGAATAAAAATGGTGGAAGGAGGCATGACATGATAGCCATGTTTAACTTTTTGAAAGGATGTCATGTTGAGGATGGAGCAAGCTTGTTTTCTGCTGCTCCAGAGAATAGGACTCAGAACAATGGATGCAAGCGACAGGAAAAGAGATTCCACCTAAACGTTAGGAAGAACTTCCTGATTGTAAGAGCTGTTTGACAATGGAAAATGCTGCCTTAGAGGATGGTGGAGTCTCTTTCTTTGGAGGTTTTTAAACAGAGGCTGGATGGCCATCTGTTAGGAGTGCTTCAATTGTGATGGCAGGGAGTTGGACTGGATGTCTCTTGTTGTTGTTGTTGTTGTTGTTGTTGTTGTTGTTGTTGTGTGCTTTCAAATTTCCAATCTATGGCAGTCCTACTTTCTGAGGCTGAGAGCGTGTGATTTACCCAAGGTCACCCAGTTGGTTTCCATGGCAGAGCAGGGATTTGAATCCAGGTTTCCAGAGTCACAGTCCAAGGATCAAACCACTACACAAGGGGTAGGCAACCTTTTTGAGCCGGGGGCCGGGTTGCTGCTCCTCAAAAAATTGGGGGGCCGAAGCACCAAAAATAAATAAATAAATAAATAAATATTTTTTTTTAAAAAAATTAAAAATTTAAAAAAATATGCATGCACACTCTCTCAACTCCAGAAAAGCCATGGCAAAACCCCTGTGGAAATTTTGCCAAGAAAACCCCAAGAACAAGTAATACAACAATAATCAATATCATGATGGCGGGCGGCGGCGGCCGCGAGGGGGTGGCGGCGGCGGCAGGACCAGTCTGGGGCTGGTCCAAAGGCGTCGGGGGGCCGCATTCGGCCCCCGGGCCTTGGGTTGCCTACCCCTGCACTACACCATGCTGGCTCTTGTGTATTAGTCGCCGCCTGGGATAATGAGCAGATGTGTAGGAAAGAAGTATGATTTGTAAATCACTAAAGTTGTTCTTTTGGGAAGCTGTAGCTTGGAAGTGGGGGGGAAGAAGGGGTGATACCTGAGAATACAGTGTGTTTTGAGTTACTGACAAATGGGATGAATGCTTTTGTAACAGGTGGACTGTTTGAACTCTTAAGTATACTGGGTACTAAGAAAAAGAAAACTTCAGTCCTGACACCAACTGTGTACTGTGATCTCTTTTCTGAATCTACTGAAGGCTTGTATTTTCTGGATTGGAGTTAGCCTCTGCATTACACCCTCCCAGTGACAGCACTGAAAAAGTACAGAAAAGAAGGCATGTGAACCAGCCTGAGCAGCTCATCCCTGCCAACACACTTTTTCTTTTCTCCCTTCATGACCATTGTTGCAGTGTATAAAAGAAATCCCCAAAGGTGACCTTCCAAAGGTCTTTTCCCCGCTGCCACAGTCACATTCATGTTCTGTTTCCCCCCCCTCTCCTTCCTCCCTCAGTTTCCCTTAGACTCAAAAGTGTCCTTCTTATCAGATGCGGTGAATTAGCGCCAGTGGTCTATTCCAGGTTTTCCTATCTTCAAAGCACACTTAATGACATGAATATATTTCAAGTAGCTGTTTAGTTAGGGAGGAAAGCTTTTAATTTTTTTTTTTTTTTGAAGAAACACACATATACACACACATCAAGAAAGCCCAATCTGTAGATTAACTAGTCTTTTTGTGTCCTTGGCAGCTCAAGAACACCCAGGGGGAGCATCTGCCTTACAGGAGTCAGCTGGAGAAGGTAACTCTCTATGCGCTGCATCTCTACGAATGCCTCTTTGATCCCTACCAGACTTGGAGGAGACAGCTGAGCGGGTGAGTCTGTTCCTTACATTAGCTTCCATCCCATGACAAAGCCTAGCCATGCAAGTCATTCACTGGATCTGTCCTGGGTTCAGCAGGCTTTACCTTTCAAAGCTTTTGCCACTGGAGAGGGGCATGAAGATGCATGCTTAATGTTGCTCAGACCTCTTAAAGCGAATTCTGTTCCTGATGGAAAATGCCATTGTATTCATCTGTATGACTAATTAAATTGCATGTGAGTGTCTCCCCCCCGCTGCTTGGTTATACCACAGAACCAAAGAACAACATTTAAGTGTTCAGTCTTGAAGAAATTCTTGAGGTTTTAAACAGCCATGCCCTTGCACAATCTGAGCAACTTGCATTTTATTAAATTGACTTCAAGTGGGTAACACTCATCATGGCTAATACAGTAATTATTTCTATGTTTAAAATGTATCAGTGTTTGACAAAGAATTAAGCTGGCTTTTACCTACCAAATTTTCCTGTGATTCTTCTGTTAAAGGGAAGTATTGTAGTACAGTGGGCATTATACCTTTCATGGTCCTCTTGAAACTGACCACAAGATTCATGTTGGTGTTTGAGCTTTAAAAGTAAAATGGTCTCCTATTCCTCAATTTCTCTAAAGGATCTTACATTGCAGCACACTTTGCCTACTGTGTCTCCCCCACCTTAAAAAGTCAGGGTCTGAGTTGAGATGATGCTCACATTTGAAACCTGTAAATTTACACCCATGTCAAATTTCATTAAAAAGCCACAACTGCCCTGCCTTTGCAAAACCTGAGCAAGGGCTGTCGATGCTAGGAAGCTCTTGCGTGGAACACATAACAAAAGGCCTCACTTTGGCCATCCGCTAACAGTGTGAAAGTTGCTCTGATAGGTCTTCCATTTATAAATTGTGCTTATTTTCCTGGGAAATCAATAAAAGTGATGACTGTGAGCAAGGTCTAGGAATTCGCTAGAGTGTAGGTGGAGTCCTGTGTATGATTCCGGAGCTTGAACTGCGTGCCAGCTGCTAAACTCCATCCTGGTAGGCTCCAATTGCAGACATGTGGAATAGTCACAGCTGTGGTTACAGTCCCACCCGTAGCTATTGACCACAGCACCATTTAGCACAGGGATTCGTGCTTGGCTTATATCCACCATGATTTCATGTATGAAGCCTCTCTCATGCCCTCCTGTCCTCCTTGCCTCTCATAGGGAGATCATCAGCATGAAAGAGAAGAGCAAATACAAATTTGCACCAGCTGTGTTGCCTCAAGAGTTCAGCTCTTTTTTCCAAGGTAAATGGTGAAGGGTCAGTCTCCCCCATCCCTTTTGCCTTTCTGGACTTCTCCTTTCGAAAACAGCAGTATTCCTGTTGCTGACTCTGTGTCGATCTCTCTGATCAAAGTGTCGCTCCCTCCTGTTATGAAATGGCTTACCAAATGGGTGTTCCAGCCCAACCCATGGGGTTTTGTGGTATTCTCCTTTCAGCTCTGCAAGCATTCATAGGTGACAAAATGCAAACCAAGTCAAAAGAAAACATTCAAGCCCAGAGATGGGCAACTTAAGTGGATGAAGGACTATTATTTTTTTGCCACTGGGACTCTCCCAGGGATGACATGGTCTGCTAACAAATGGGGAGGGACAGGATCTGACCCCAAAACATAAGTGGCCAAATGTTCTTTTCTGGTTTTGGGGGAAAGGTACTCCCCCCCCCCATGTTAAAAAGTGCAGAGAACACTTGCAACCTATTTAAAAGGTGAATTGCCACTCCTGGAAGTTTTCAGGAGAGGTTGTTCACAATTTATTCTTTCCTGGCCAATAAAAGAGTTGCCCAGGGAACCTGGGGGAGAAGGGCTGCAAAAACAATATATACTACACTGTGCCTATCCGACTTCTAGATATAAACAGTTATATCTACATATAAATCTTTCCTTCACTTTGTCACAGCTTCATTACCCTGTTCTACTTTCCATGGCATGTGTTGATCCTTCCATCCTAAGCGTTGACTATGTCCTTTTCATTGCCACAGTGTTTTCTCCTTAGTACCACTGTGTAATCCTCCACCATGTGAATTTGAGATTCTGTTCCTTATGCTTGTGTTATCTCTTACTTCCTTTCTGAGGTTTTTTTTGGGTGTGTGTGTGTATAAGGGTTGTATCATGCAGTGTTAATGTAATGTGAAATCCAACCTGAGTAAAAGTCCTCCAGAGATTGCTTCGTTTGCTAAAAGCTGACAAAATTTGTTGTAGTTGTTGAGGATTATCAGAGCGCTTTGTGAACCTGGTCTGTACTCAGGAAATATAAGAGAGATAGCAGCATTCTTCTGTACACCAATCTGGTGCCCTCCAGATGTATTGGACAGTAGCCCGTGCCATCCTCAGCCAGCACATCCATGTCACTATCCCAATGTTAATTTTTGAAGCAACAAGAACAAGGTTCTAGTCCCCATGGTTGTGAAGGTGTGTTGGAAAACAGTGGGCAGCACTTACTGAAATGTCAAAACTAACTTGCGTAAGATCCCACGGATTGTAAGATGGAGTTTTAGTGTCCAGTGTAACCCTTGCTCCTTCCTTGCTGAGAGATCATAAAGATTTGTACAGTAAGTACAGGCAGCTAAATGCAGCTCTGTCTGTACTAGAAATGATCAGGAATTGTGATAATGTAGAATACAAGTCCTCCAAACAGGGAACATATCCCATGAATGGTATCTCTTTTTTGGTCAGAAAGAAAAAGCACGTTCATTTGTATGTATGCTGAACTGTTCATAATACTATCATATGTAGCAGAGTAATTATAATTGTGTATTAATGTTCGACTCCCTTCAGAATGTTGTTGTATGGCTTCAATTTGTTTCTGACTTAACGGCAGCCCTAAGGCAGATCTATCATGGGGCTTTCTAGGGCTGAGAGTGTGTGACTCACCCAAGATCATCAATAAGTTCCATGGCTGTGCAGGGAATCGAACTCTAGTCTCCAGAGTCATAGTCTATAGTCAAACCACTACTACACCATGCTGGCTCTTCTTCATAATATTGGCCTACAACAATTGTGTAAAGTAGGCCAGTCAGGTTTATCTATGTCTTGCACATTTGGAGAAGGAACTGAATCTGAGAGGCTGCCGTGCCTCTAAGTGCGTTCATGGCCAAACTAAGACATGGATTTCATAGAACTCAAACCAGGGACTTCCTAACCCATTACTCTTTCTGTTAGTCCCCATGGTGCAACAGCTGTACACTTCTTATAATAAAATCTTCTACTGAAAACCTCAGTGGAGGTTGGTATGGAGGTTAAAGCATCAGGATGGAAAGGAGCAATTTTCCCACCTGCCCACCTTTTTATAGTAGTGGGTCATCCTTTTTTGTACTGGAGATGAAGAACATTCAAATTAACTTCTCCACAAAGGACCACAACCTGCCTTTTCCAATTCATAATCTTCCTTGTAAGCCTGCTTTTCAAAGTCCCATAAAACAACCCTCTGATGGCTGCCAGTAAAAAAGAGGAGGGTGATTAAAGGGCAAGCAATAAGCACTAGGGGACTTTTTAATTTTATTTTATCATTTTTTACCCTAGGAGATGCAGTGTTCCTACTGTAGTGCGTTGTCACTTTCAGCCAGCTTCTTCTCCTGCCAAGATATTTATTAGATCCACATAGCAGCTTTAAGGAGGGTCAGTGTAAATTGAAAGACAAATATCCTTGGCTAGGTTACCAGAGCAACTCTGGGTGACTAAATAATAAAGCAAAGGGAAGATGTAATTTTGCTGTGATTCCAGGCATTAAAGGGCCATTATCTCAGCCTTAGCCCACCAATCTAAATTTGATTTATCTCTTCTATGGCTTTATATTTATCCTCTGGGATATTGAATGGCTCACAGTCAATAAATGCTGGGCTAAGCTCCGTGAGAAGAGAAATCTGTGCAGTTAGTAATGCAAGGTATATCTTTAATATATCTATTACATCTATTGAGATAGAAAGAGAAACATGAAATAAGTTAAAAGGAATAGGTTTACAAAAAGCATTGAAAATTTTTAACAAAAATATCCTTGGGAGTTTTAGGGACTTTTTGTGCTAGGTGCTAATACTAGAATTGGATGCATTTAAAAAAATGATTTTGTGCAAGTGGGGGATTTCTTTGGGCTATTTCGACAGGAGCGCGGAGTGCAGCTGTATCAGTTTTGATACTCAGAAACCCAGTCATGCAATTGCATTGGCTGGGCTGGCTCAGGGATTTTGGAAGTTGTCATTCAAAAAGGTAACCTTTTCAAGATCCTGAAGGATCTGTCAGCCTTAACTTACCATGCTATATCCACTCACTGCCCTGTTATGCTTGCTCCACTTAATATCCTGTTTTCCTATAAAAATGCTCAGTGTGGTTCACCATTTAAAACAAGGGTCAGGAAAGTGCAGCCCCAAATCATGATTTCAAAGTCCCCAAAGCCCTCTTGTGACTCCTCCATCTAAAAACCAGTCTTCAGGCGACTTTGCACCCGGAACCTACCCAAAATGTCTCCAAACTGCCCACAGAAGCAACAGTTTGGGTCACTTCTCCAGAACCCAGCAAAACCTAAGGCAGGAAATAAGTTAAAAGGGGCACCCAAAAAACGATGCACTGTCTCTTCCTTTGCACCTGAACATGATGATGTAGTCCACAAAGGCATCATGGGGGCAAAAACTGATTCCCCATCCCACCCACTCCATCCCACTCCTGCACTTTTAAAACAGTGGCTGACACATCCAAAAGATATGATATGCAAGAGAAAAGAAGAATGGAGGAGGAAGAGGCAATGAAGCGCATTACGCTCCTGTCTCTCTCCGACTGTTAGGCATTCAAGCTCAGATGGAATGGCAACCAAGATGATAAAGGATCTGGAAATCAAGCCCTATGAGGAGTAGCTTAGGGAGCTCAGTGCGTTTATCTAGGACAGGGGCAGGCAACCTTTTTGAGACCTGAGCCGGTCTCCCTTAGCCC